CACTCTGAGTGATAATTCATTTAAACTACAATACAGAACCGTATTTCCTGCACCCCTCAGAAGCAGGGCAAAGGCTGGAGGGAGTCCGGGGTAACAGAGGAGCTGAGGGAGAGGGAAGGAGCCTGGGAGTGAACATGAAGGGTTGTTATGTGTGGCCGGGAGAAGTATGGAACAGGTTTTTTCAGGGGGGGGCAGGGATTGTTAGGGAGTTGGGGAGCCTGCCTCATGCAGACCCTGGCTGACTCCTGGCCTCTCCCTTTCAGTCAGGCACATCTGCCAATGGCCACACGTGTCCCTAAACCCCCTCCCCCATCCCTATGTATCCCTTCACCCTCATTCAGCCACCCCCTCCCTGGCAACTGATGGCCGGGGCCCAGCCTCTGCACGAGGCAGCTGGAGAACAAAAATTCACAGGAGCTGAGAACTCCTGCAGGGGGAAGGAGAGAGGGGCTAACGCAGGCTGCAGGGGTGTATTTCAGTGCGGCGGCGCCGTTGCACCGGGTGGGGAATCAGGAGAGAAGTGTCAGCAGGAGGAGCCCAGTGAGGGCTGGGAGGAGGAGCCCGGCTGCTCCTGGTGCCACGCCTGCAGCGTGGGAGGTTGTGGTTGCTGGAGCCGCGTCTCTTGCACCGGGGGTCGTGGCTGCTGGAGGCACGCCTGCTGCACCAGAGGCTGCTGTGCAGTTGGCCAGGACTAGATTTAAACCGATCCCTCCGATGGTCCTCGAACCCACTTCGAAGTGGGTGCACACGGACTCGGAAACGCAGCCCTTAATGGCCATTGGCATTAGACTTCCATCTGCGCGTTTGGGGGAAAGCTGGTGATTGTCAGGAGAACAGCTTCACTCCTCCAGCTGGACTAGGACACAACAGCCTCCCCCTCCTCAGGGTCCCACCAAACTCCCCCACAGCCTCCATCTCCCCATCTGCTCTGCTTCCCCCCCTCCCAGCCTGTCTGGCCCTGGATGGCCTCCTGCTCCTCCTCTGCTCTGACGCAGACTCATTGTGTGACTGTAAACAAGTCACTTGCAGCCCTGATTTAGAGCCCACTGACAGCACCTGGATGGGATCAGGCCTGTATTAGCCCCACGGCTCATCTACAAAGCAGCCGCTCAGTGCTGGTGGCAGTAGTGGGATCTCTAAGCAGGGCGGCTTTGTAGTGAATTAAGGCACCATGATGAGACTCCGCAAAACTAAGTTCAGATCCCAGCTCTGCCATAGCCTTCCTGTGTCACATTGGGCAAGTCACAGCACTGCTCCGTGCCTCAGTTTCTCCACCTTTAAAATGGGGAAAATGATCCTTCATTTGCCTGCTTAGATTGCAGGCTCTTTGGGGGCAGGGACTGTATCTCACTGGGAGCCCTTCAGCATCTGGCAGAAGCGGGGACCCCGATCTCAGTCAAAGGTCTGTGCAGCACCCAGCACAAGAAGGGACCCAAATCTTGGTCAGGGGTCTGTCCAGTGCCTGGCACAACAGGTGTTCCCAGGACTAAGTCAGGCCCTACCACAAAGAGTTTACAAACTGAACTATAGACAGGCAATGGATGGAGGAGAACCAGAAGCACAGGGAGGGGAAGACACTGGCCCAAGGTCCCACTGGAGGCCAGCGCTGAGAACAGAACCCAGGTGTCCTGATCTGCAGCCGATACCTTTCCCTAGCAGCCCCCACCCAGCGTCTCACTTCTGCCCTATGTGGGAGAGGGAAATCAAAGGAAAAATAACCCCAGAATAAATGAACAGAAGTTACCAATCATTGCAGTCCCAGCAATATCAATACATCGGGTATCAGCTCCAGTACAATATATGGTGTGTTCATTGCATTGCCTAGCCTTCAACGTGTACCAGCCAGGGCAGTGCCGGCCATTGGGTTTGGTGTCGGCCGGGGGCACTGGGAAGAAGTGGAGCAAACGCAGTCAGCTCGGGGGACGAGCCCCAGGAGGCGTCGGGGCAGGGAGAGCAGCTGGGGGCTGAACAGCTCAGCCCTGGGTGCCCCCTGCAGGGGGAGCTGTAGCTCTGGGGATGCCGGGGGCAGCAGGGGCAGGGGAGAGGTTTGCAGCAGGGAGCCCTGGACCCTGCCCCAGGTGGGGTCAGCCGGGTTCACACCCTGGGGCAGCCTAGGGCCCCGCCCACTAAACTCCACCCAGCCAGGGGCTCAGTGTTATTCCATGGGTCGCCCCCTGCAGAGGGGGAGGACTAATCCCAAGGCTCAGTGTTATTCCATGGAGCTCCCCCTGCAGGGCGGGAGGACCAGTCTCAGGAAGTTTCTGTGGGGTAGGTTCCAGGCAGTAGGAGGCGAGGGGGATGGGGGAGGAGAGGTGGAAATGGGGAAATGTACCTGAAGTAGGGGGGGGGCAGCATGCAGGCGTCTCCCTGGCAGCAGGTGAAGCTCATCCTTGTCATTCTGTACCCAAAATTCATAGAGATGGGGCTGTGTTTACATTCGCTTGATATTGTACAGTCCGTGAGAATGACCATCCTCTGCACAGGAGGAGAAGTCTGAGATTTGTTCCCCTTACACTCCCACCTCATCACTGTCCTCTTCAGAACAACAGCCCTGTGCCATTAGCCTTCCTCTACCCATGGGGAAACTGAGGCATGGAGAGAGGACATGACTCAGCCATGCAATGCTGAGTCTAAGCCCCATTGGGAGGTAGCCCATAGAGTCTGGCATAGAACCCAGGAGTCCTGGCTCCCAGCCATTGCCTGTTTGAACCCAGCCACCCCACTCCCGTCCCAGAGGAAGGTGTAGAACAGAACCCAGGAGTCCTGGCTCCCCAGCCTGCTCCCTGACCCAGGTTGGTTAGTTCCATCTCACCTACCCAGTATGCTGTCAGTAAGAAAGATGCCACAAGAGTCTTACTCAGCGGCGCAGGTCTGTATACTGCCCGTGCACTTGTTTCCTGCTCTAGCGCAAACCTCACACTGCAGACAGGTCCCTGGAGAAGGAGAGAGAACATGAGGGGCTAGATTCATCCCTCCCTTGCCCCCTCACTTTCTCTTGAATTTAACTGACCCCAGCTGCGGATCTTGCCCCATTGACACCATTGGAGCAACAGCGCATTGACCCCAACTGGGAATCATGATGTAGAAATGCCTTTTATATTGTCTTGAGCTCATGTTAGTGAAATTCAGATCTGCTGCCTTTCAGACAAACTCGCGGGGAAATCCCCTTTCAGGAATATCCTTGGTCGCTGGCCAACTCTGAAACAATGTCCAGTCCGGACTCGGTTCTAGTGATTTAAACTGTAAATATTTCCTCCCATTTCCAAAATTGTTTCAGTCGCTCTCACGGGCTGCTCCCTACGGCAGTGAGAGACAAATCACCCCACCTTGTTCTAGGCTGGTTCTTTGCAGACTGCCAGTGGTCCCACACTTCCCTGGAGAGCCCCCAAGACTGCCAGCAGGACCAGGAAACCCCAGCCCCCCAAGTCACCCACTCTTAAAGCGATAGCTTGCCATTGCAAACAGTCCTCAATATAGAACATCCAGTAACATGATTAGGGTTGAGGAGTGGGGCTGGGAGCCAGGACTCCTGGGTTCTCTTCCCAGTTCCAGGAGGGGAGTGGGGTCTTTTGGGTTAAAGCAGGGTGCCTGGGAGACAGGACACTCAGGTTATTTTCAGAGTAGAGCTGGATTCCTGCCCCCAACCCAGAGGAAACATCAGATTTCATCAGAAAAAAAATAACTGTGAAAACCGCCAAAATCTGAAAATCGCAAAACTTTTGGCAGGAAATTGCAGGCAAAAGAAATTCAGCCCCAAATGAAAATCATTCAAGCTGAAAATACAAAATAATGTTGGTTGAAAAGCTCTAAAACCTGGAAACGTTTTTCCAGCCCCCTTCCCGCCCCCGCTCCACATCACCTCACTTCCAAACCACTGTCCTCTGCGGTGACGTTGGGGAGATAGATCCGAGACCTGCTCACACCCTGGGCTGGGCCTCGCTGTGGTCAGACGCAGCAGCAGGGCTACGGGCTCTGCGCTGTGGGGAAGGAGGGAGGGTGTGACAGTCACCGGACCCTCAGTCCTTTCTGCATGGATCCCAGGACTCCTGGCTCCCAGACCTCCCCACTTCAACCCAATGCACCCCACCTACCTCCCAGAGCCGGGGATAGAACCCAGGAGTCCTGGCTCCCAGCCCCCATCGGAGGCTGAACTGACGCTCTCCTGGGCTGTGTAATCCCCAGCCTGTGGTACCTGCTTTCCCCACTGGGGTCTTTCTGAGCCTAATCTCAGGGCATGGAGCGGCTTCCTTAGGAGATGGGACTAAAACGATTAGGGTCATTTATCTTGGCAAAGAGACAACCGAGGGACGGATGCAACTGAGGGCTAGAAAATCATGCCATGGGGTGGGGAAAGTGACCAGAGAAATAATATTTCCCCTGTCCCACAGCACCAGAACCAGGGGTCACCCAATGAAATGAACAGGCAGCAGGTTTCATACAAACAAGAGGCCATGTTTTTCCCCACGATGCACAATTAACCTGTGGAACTCACTGCCAGGGGATGTGGGGATGGGCAAAAGTATAGCAGGGTTCAGAAAAGAACTCGATCAGTTCCTGGAGGATAGGGCCATCCATGGCAATTTGCCAATTGCTCAGAGACACAACCCCCTGCTCTGGGTGTCCCTAAACCTCTGTGTACCAGAAGCCGGGAGGGGAAGACAGAGCTGGGTCCCTTCAATATGGCTGTGCCTGGGCACTGCCCTGGAAGTTCTGGTTCTGCCACTGTCGTAGACAGGACACTGGACTAGCTGTGGCCGCTCTTCTGTTCCTAACAGGCTTCTTGATGGTCCCACCCACGAGAATTAAATTTTCCCCCTTTGAAATAAATAAATAAATAAAAATTCCAGAGAGTTTGGTCTCCAGTGTGTTTTATTCAATGCAACAACAACAAGGGGATGTGACTCCAACCAGGAGCTGAGAACACCTGTGTGGGGGAGAGGGACTAAGGCAGGCTGCAGGGTGGATTTCAGTGCGGTGTGGCCGTTGCACCGGGTGGGGAATCAGGAGAGAAGCGTCAGCAGGAGGAGCCCAGCGAGGGCTGGGAGGAGGGGCCCGGCTGGCCCCGGAGCCACGCCCACCGCGCCGGAGGATGTGGTTGCTGGAGGCAGACCCATTTGGCCAGAGGCCGCTGTGCATTTGGCCATGGTTAGATCTGCACTGATCCCTGCGAAGGTCAGAGATCCTGCTTCTATCTGGGCGCAGACGGACTCGGAAGTGCAGCCCTTCATGATGGTCTGCATTTGATTTCCACCTGCGTGTTTGGAAGAAACAGGGGATTGTCAGGGGAGCAGCTCCACTCCTCCAGCAGGTCTAGGACACAATGGCCTCCTGCTCCTCACGGCCCCACCACACTCCCCCAGTGTCTCCATCTCCCTGTTTGTCAGCTCCCGCCAGCCTGTCTGGCCCGGGATGGCCTCCCCCTTCTCCTCCGCTCGGACAGAGTCTTGCTGTGTGTCTAGAAGCCAGTCACTTGCAGCCCCGATCCAGAGCCCTGTATTAGCCCCACAGCTCATCTGCAAAGCAGCAGCTCCGTTCTGGTGGCAGTAGTGGGATCTCTAAGCAGGGCGGCTTTGACGTGACTTAAGGCACCATGATGGGACTCCTCAAAACTAGCTTCAGATCCCAGCTCTGCCACAGGCTTCCTGTGTCACACTTGGCAAGTCACGGCACCGCTGCGTGCCTCAGTTTCCCCACCTTTAAAATGGGGAGAAAGATCCTTCATTTGCCTGCTTAGATTGCAGACTCTTTGGGGGCAGGGACTGTATCTCACTGGGAGCCCTTCAGCATCTTGCAGAAGCGGGGACCCTGATCTCAGTCAAAGGTCTGTGCAGCACCCAGCACAAGAGGGGCCCAAATCTTGGTCAGGGGTTCCCAGGACTAAGCCAGGCCCTACCACAAAGAGTTTACAGATTAAACTTTATACAGGCAATGGAGAGAAAAAGATCCAGAGGCCCAGGGACAGTAAGACACTGGTCCAAGGTCACACCAGAGGCCAGCGCTGGGAACAGAACCCAGGTGTCCTGATCTGCAGCCGATACCTTTCCCTAGTGGCCCCCCCCCAGTGTCTCGCTTCTGCCCTACATGGCGGGGGGGGGGGGCAGCAAAGGAAAAATAACCCCAGAATAAATGAACTGAAGTTACTCATGGTTATGGTCCCAGCGGTGTCAATACTCTGCGTCTCAGGTCCAGTACACGCTATGGTTTGTTCATTGCATTGAGCAGCATTCAACACGTAGCAGCCAGGGCAGCTCCGGCCGTTGGGTTTGGTGTCAGCCGGGGGCACTGGGAAGAAGCGGAGCAAACGCAGTCAGCTCGTGGGACGAGCCCCAGGAGGCGTCGGGGCAGGGAGAGCAGCTGGGGGCTGCACAGCTCAGCCCTGGGTGCCCCCTGCAGGGGGAGCTGTAGCTCTGGGGACACTGGGGGCAGCAGGGGCCGGGGAGAGGTTTGCAGCAGGGAGCCCCAGACCCTGCCCCGGGTGGGGTCAGCTGGGTTCACACCTGGTGGGAGCCTAAAGCCCCGCCCACTAAACTCCACCCAGCCAGGGGCTCAGTGTTATTTCATGGGGTGCCCCCTGCAGGGTGGGAGGACCAGGCCCGGGAAGTTAACGTGGGGCAGGTTCCAGGCAGCAGGACGTGCAGGGGATGGGGGAGGAGATGGGGAGAGGTACCTGTAACCAGTGCCGGAGTGCAGGCCTCTCCCATGCAGCAGGCAACAATCGTCCTTGTCGTCATTCCCTTCCCAAAATTCACAGAGACGTGGCCGGCTTTACATTGGCTGGACGTCACACAGCTCCACTTAATGTTCTGGGTGTTCACTCCCTCTGCACAGGAGGAGAAGTCTGAGATTTGGTCCCCTTCCACTCCCACCCCATCAACACCCTCTGCACAATGACAGCCCTGTGCCATTAGCCTTCCTTTACCTATGGAGAAACTGAGGCCCAGAGGGGACAGTGACTCACTCGAGGTCCTGCAGGGCTAGAGAAAGTGATTTCAGCCCCTAAATCCAGCACTGAGATCCTCCACCTCCCCACTCAGCTGCCGTGTAACCCTGGGGGCCCCAAATCTCCTGCCCAGAAAGTCCTTTTGTTGTCAAAGTTCCCACCACTGGGTACGTGCCGGGCCGCCAAAATCCCAATGCGGGGCATCCAGCCACCCCTTAGCCATGGTGGGATTCACGGCCCCACCCATTCCACATGAGGCGCCCCCGCCCCCCACAGGGCCGGAGCACTGAGCCCCTTTTCCCCCACTTCCATGTCCGGAGAAACCCCAGGCCAGCCGGAACCCACAGCCATCCCCCCTCCCCCCAATGCCAGACGAGCCCCAGGCTGGCCCCAACCGGCCGACCGACCCGAGCCCCAGGCCGAGCAGCCCTAGTTGCACCTACAGGCCCAGGGCCGGAGGAGCCCCAGGCCAGTGTCCCGCAGCAGTGGCTGCCTTCCCTGACCTCTTATCCTCACTGCCCATGTGCCTGGCCCACGTTGGGTAACAGCCATTTCACCTACCCTGCATGGTTTCTTCAAATATGACACCACAAGAGTCTTGCCCAGCGGCGCAGGTCTGTAGATTACCCGTGCAGCTCTTTCCTAGGCGTTCGCAAACCTCACACTTCAGACAGGCCCCTAGAGAGGGAGAGAGAACATGACGGGTCTAGATTTGTCCCTCCCTCGCCCCCTCACCTTCCCTTGAATTTAACTGACCCCTATCTGGGGTCTGGGAAACTGTCCCCATTGACGCCAATGGAGCTAAGGCTGACTAACCCCGGCTGAGGATCATGTAGAAATGCCTTTTATATCGTCTTGGGCTCATGCTACTGGAATTCAGATCTGCCTTTCAGACAAACTTGTGAGGAAAATCCGCTTTCAGAAATGCCCTTGGTTCCTGGCCACCTCTGAAACGTAACCAGTCAGGACACGGTTCTAGTGATTTAAACTGTAAATATTTCCTCCCATTTCCACAATCGTTTCACTCCCTGTCACGGGGACTTTGTGACTTCCAGCCCTCTCCTCCTCGGACGTTGTCACTCAGACGCCCCTAGCTCAGCCCCCGTTATTCTGTGGCTGCTTTTCGGTTATGTTCAGTAACAGTTTCACCCGGCAGGCGGCTCTGAGGTGCTGGTACGTTGGAGAAGTTAGGAAATCAGCCCCTGTAGGAACAGGCCCCACTCACCCATAGCCAGGAGAGCAGCGAGGATGCAGATGGCAAGAAAAGCCTTCATGGCGATGGGGAAGCAGTAGCTCGGCGCTGGTCCAGCCAAATCTCTGGCCGGGGGATTTATCACAGACGGGCTGAACTGAGATCAGAAGAGAGATTGGACATGCATGAGACGGTCGACAGGATGGGTGGATCCTCAGAGCTGTTTTCCACAGCTCTGGGGTAGCCACCCTCAGCACTGAGCCCTTTGTGGCTGGTATGTTGGCGGTACCCACCCAGAGCAGTCAGAGACAAAGGTCAAATGCTCCTGCTGCTAGGCTGCGGCGTGAGGTGACTGTTTCTGGGGATCAAGAACGTTCACCCACAAGAACCACAAACAAGAGGGAGACAAAGCAGGCTGCTCCCTACGGCAGCGAGAGACAACTCAGCCCACCTTGTTCTAGGCTGGTTCTTTGCAGGCTGCCTCTGGTGCCACGCTTCCCTGCAGAGCCCCCAAGACTGCCAGCAGGAGCAGGAAACCGCACTCCCCCAACCCACGCACTCTGAAAGGGATATCTTGTCATTACAAACTGTCCTCAATATAAAATGTCCATTAACATTCTCATGGTGGAGGAATGGGGCTGGGAGTCAGGACTCCTGGGTTCTGTCCCCAGCTCTGGGAGGGCAAAGGAGGCTAGTGATTAGAGCGAGTGGGACTGGGAGCCAGGACTCCTGGGTTCTCTCTCCAACTCTGGGAGGGGAGTGGGGTCTAGTGGTTAGAGCGAGTGGGGCTGGGAGCCACGGCTCCTGGGTTCTATCCCTGACCATGGGAGGGGAGTAGGGTCTTGTGGGTTAAAGCAGGGTGTCTGGCCACCAGGACACCCAGGTTCTAGCCCTGGTTTTGGAAGGGTAGTGGGGTCTAGTGGTTAGAGCACAAACAGCCCAGAGGGGTATCACTTACCAAATGCTCCTTAGAGTAAAGTTTGCCTAGAGTGAAAGTGGCTAATTCTGCCAAGTGGAAAAGCTGTGCCAGTCTCTCATTCTGTCCTGTCACACCAGCACTGTCTCTGTCTCTCTCTCTTTTTATAGGGCTTAATTTTGTGCTGTGATCTAATGTAGAAACTTTAACGGGTTCACGCGCTTCTCCTGGTAGAGTCTATAAGTTTCTGTTCCCCTCGCTGGCCCTGACCACCTTTTCGGCATCTGTGCACACTGCCATATCCTCCTCCTTCCTGTGAAGAAATTGAATTAGAGTGCTGAGTGACACCAACGCCCCTCGGAAGGCTTGGGGTGGCAACACGGGAGACCAGTTCACACAAGGGACAGGGCAGCCGGACTCCTGGGTTCTGGTCCCGGTGCCATGTAGATTGAGGGCAGGACTCTTGGGTCCCACTCCTGTCCTTGGGAGAAGCGGGATCCAGCGATGAGAGAAGTGGGGGTGTGAGCCAGGACACCTGGGTTCTATAGATTGGAAAGTGGGGCACAGAAGAGTTGAGGGTAAATGGGGACGTGACTCAAGCTAATGGGGGGGGCGAACCTCCCACTCTCAGCAGGCACCTGTCGTCTCTGGCAGAAGCCCCCAGCCCCACCACCTCAGCGCAGGGCAGAAGCCCTGAATTTCCCCCCACTCTGGTAGGCAGAGAAAGGGGCTGGGGGGAGCCATACAAGCCACACTTTAACTGTAAAAGAGCCACATGTGACTCGTGAGCCACAGTTTGGCCACCCCTGGTTAGTGGGTGAATGTCGGAGGAAGGGGGTCCACAGGTCAGGATTCCTGGGTTCTCCTTCCAGTTCCACCAACCACTCCGTGTGAAAAGGAGGACCTGTAAACATTATAACAATATTGCCCCTCTCCACCGGATCTCGTAATAACCTTTGCAGAGTTCTTCGTACATTGAAGTGCTGGGCATGAGGAGGGCTAAAGCTCTGGGGGTGTTTTTGGTCCTTTCCCCACGTTTGGTCCATTGACACTCACGTTAAACTCCGTTTAAACGCAGAGCGGAACAGGGGGACCTGGGCATGGAGAAGAGCCAGGGCCCTGCCATGCAGGGATTCTACCAGGCTGGCAAAGTCATGCCAGGGGTTCCCATCACCTTCCTAATGACCTTTGCAACAGCTCTGGTTTCAGGCTGCCTGTAATTTCTAATGTTTTTGCCTGAAAACAGAACAATTTTTGGCCAAAAAGTGTCAAAAACAAATACATTTTTTAAGCCGAAAAAAGTCTGAAACTGAAAAACGTTTGAGTTCACAAGTGAAGCATTTTCAACCAAAATGTCCTGGAAACTGAACAACTGTCAGCTGAAAACCAAATTTGTTTGGCTAAAAATCGACCAATCTTTGGCCAAAATCTCTGGACTCAAACCTGGACAATTTTCAGTCTCACACGTCAGAAAACATGACAATTTTCAGCAAAGAAAGAAATGAAAAGAACGTGGCCCAAACCTGCTGAAAATGGGAGAAAAAAAATAGTTGGGGGGCTGGGGGTGGCCAAAAAATGGAAAATGTTGGAGGAAAGCAAAGTTTGCTGTGAAAATGTTTGAGTCAAAAACCTAATTTTCCATTAAAAAAAAAAAAAAGTTGTGATGGGAAATGTCCTCACAGTGCCTCGTGGAAGTGCCAGGGGGCTATTGCCCACCCCCCGCAGTTAACTGTGTTTGTGTGTGTGTGTGTGTGTGTGTGTTGGGGGGGGATGGTCAGGATCCTGATACTGACAGGCCTCAGGGTCAATGGGCAGAGGCCACCACTCCAGGTCCTGCCCCCTAACACCTGAGGGCCTGTAGGCAGCACCAGGGCAGGGTCTGACCGCAGTGTCACCTCAGCGTGACCAGGGCCTGGGATGGGTGAGGGACAGGACAGACCATGAACATTCCTCACATCCCAGAGATGGCTGGCTGGGGTGTCCCCAGCCTACAGGGCCGGATCCTTGTTCCTTCAACCTTTTATTTTTTCCTTATTATTTTTTTTTTACAATTACTGTTTAATACATTGTATTTGGTTTGAACTTAATGCAGGGTTCAGGGATGTGTCCGGGGTACTGGGAGCACCCCAGGATTGGAACTCCCTTGCCCCTGTCCTAAGTGACCACAATGGGCCTGGGGGTGCAGCCCCCTCCAGGGATCCTGGGCTCAGTCTTGTCGGAGCGGCACCATTTCAGATTGGGGTGGGGACTTTTACCATGACTCCAGGAGCTACTCAGGCATCTAAAAACTCTATTTTTGGGGGGAGACTGTAACTGAGAAATTGGCAAAGATATACAAAGAAAGAAAAATATAGATACAAACCTCAGTTCAAGCCATATTTTACATTTATATATGTAACCCTTCTGCCCGGCTGAGTTGGCAGCAACAAGGGCCGGGTTCAGTATCTAGGGGTTCCGTTTTCATAAAGGAGGGAAACAATGTGGCATTGTGTTGGGGAAACACCACAAACAGGATTCATAACACAAACCATGAGCAAAAGACCCACCCCCAAGTAAGATTTTCCCCTCAGGGTCTTAAGTCCAACCACCCAAAAGATCACCCCAAAGTCCCAAAAGTCCAACACCCCAAAAGTCTCTGTCCCTGGTCAGTGCAGCCCCAGAGTTCAAAAGTTTATCTACAGAGTTCTACACCCCCAACCCCCCAGCACCAACAGTTGGAGCGGCTCATGGGGCGGCTGGTGGAGTGATAATTCATTTAAACTACACTACAGAACCGTATTTCCCACACCCCTCAGAAGCAGAGCAAAGGCTGGGGGGTGTCAGGGTAATGGAGGAGCTGAGGGAGAGGGAGGGAGCCTGGGAGTGAACCTGGAGGGTTGTTGGGTGCGGGTGAGAGAAGTGTGGAACAGGTTTTTCTGCGGGGGGGATTGTTAGGGAGTTGGGGAGCCCAGGGCCGGCTCGAGGTTTTTTGCCCCCCCCAAGCAAAAAAAAATAAATAAAAATAAAAAAAACCTCCGAGAGTGCAACTGCCGAAGCAAAATGCCGCCCCTGGAATTGTGCCGCCCCAAACGTGTGCTTGGTTTGCTGGTGCCTAGAGCCGGCCCTGACTGACCCCTGGCCTCTCCCTTTTAGTCAGGCACATCTGCCAATGTCCACACGTGTCCCTAAACCCCACCACCACCATCCCTATGTGTTCCTGCATCCTGTACACACACCAGTACACACCTGTACACCCCCCCCCCCCC